GCTGGAAGCGTGTAATCTACCTCCTATGCAACTAAGTTTACTAGTACAACCGGTCGGGCTGCCCTAATTATACCTTTTTGTGAAGGGATGGACTGCATGGCTATCATCAGGTTCTTTTTTTCTGGTTGAAACTGAGAGGGTATAAGTAGCCTATTAACTACACCACAAATCCGGTTCGATCGGAGGGGACGGATATCGATCAATCATTGCAGTAATATTGAAACCATGTTCTGCAAAACCGTTTTGTTTAATCTGCAAGCGCTCAATATTCTACAATAGAAAAGAAGTGAGCTGTGAAAACATGGAGTGCTGCACAACAAATCAATACTGATTAATGCCGATTGATCGGGAACTGTCCAGTACGGTATTGAAGTTGCCTGCATTCGCCTAACTTTTCGAAGTTTGGCCGCTAAAGGGATAGACTTTTGAATTTTTCACCAGAGGCCGACCCACCCATATACAGAGTTATAGAAAGAGATGTTCGGTAAAAATAGTTCTGAATATGACTTTGAGGCGATTGTAGTCAGGTCTAGGGAAAAGTGCTTGTTTGAGATTAAGTGCCATCTTTAGAAAAATGTACCTTAGACTGAAAAAAATTCGATAGTTCGGAAGTTTTTAGGAAGTACAAGAAGCTGTACTAAGTAAATGGACGAATGATGTTCATCGAATGGACAAGAAAATGCTGTCGCTCGTCATACTAGCTCATGCTTCAGATGTTCTGGAAAATGCTTTCGCACCGTTGAGTGATCAGGATTACGAGGTGGGAATTCTAGTGATGGAGTGTTGGTCTACACATAGGCCTGGCTTTCTTCGATTTTTTCTCGGGAACACCATTCCTATTTAATATTTCCAGTCACGTAGTGAAAAAATTCTCATGCATTCCTATATTGGATACTGTACGCTTTAAATTTGATTACACTAAAAATTGTCAGCTTCATTCCATATTAAAATCAGTACTTTCGATATGAGAAATAGGACGTAAATACGTTTATGTTTGGCATTTATACCAGCTTTGTAAATCTTCCATTTACAGGTTGCAATGAAAAGGGTTCGATCATTGTTGGAATTGGAATACGATGCTCAGGCGGAAAAGAAAGGGAACGAAGTGATGTGGGCTGTGTTTGAGGCGTTCAGCAAGTAGTTTGCACTATTTCGGTAAGGATTTTTTGCGTGAATTCATTGATATTGGGAATGTTTTGCATAGCATTCAATACGTGGAAGGCATGTGTTTTGCATTAGAGCTGTCTAGCAGGGATGCTGTCATCGATTTTTCGTTTTCTGCCATGCCAAGGTATTCC